ATATCCAGAAGAAAATGTAACTGAGTAGTCCGAGACTAGAAATACTCGGTAGCATCTCAGTAAACTGGTGGGTCAGCAGTCGTTCATGTTTATAATATCTATTTATTTTCTCGTTAACCACTCTACTTTATACACCGTTCGGTAGAAAATTGCACACGCTACAAAATAAGCTACAGCACATTATTTGCCTTCGTAAATGTATTGGGCAAATAGAATAATTTATTGTATGCGTTCTTCTCCTGGATTCGATCTTCCGATCTATCACACACTGTACTTCTCCAACTACGCATTTTTCCATTGCACTAAATTGTGCAAAAGGAAACTACCTAGTGGATGATGATACATTCGTATGAAAGTTTGCAGCCTTCATACGAGTATTTCTAGCCTCGGACTACTCTACTAGAGTGGTTAACGAGAAAATAAATGGATATTATAAACATGAACGACTGCTGACCCACCAGTTTACTGAGCTGCTACCGAGTATTTCTAGTCTCGGACTACTCAGTTACATTTTCTTCTGGATATTTTATATAGCATGTTGTAGCTCGTGAAATTCTCTATCGAACGGTACATGATAGTTGAGGCTTGCTCTGAGTGAAAGAGCTGATAAAACGAAAATACTTTGAGTACAGTTTATTTATTGAAAGAAACGTTTTTTCTGCGAAAAGTTTCTCAGGGAGCACTGAGGAAAAAGAATATGGTGGGGTTAATCGCCGTCCAAAACTACATCAGATTGGTTAATATGAGCTTGATCTGTGCGGGGATCTCATTTTGCCTCTTATTGACCTCGTTCGTCCTTTGCATGAAAAATGTTGGATCTAAAAGAATGGATATATCGAAAAATGTTAAAAAGAAAAATATTAAACGACGAATATTCAGCCCACCGTTGTCTCCATCGTTGAACGCTTGTCGTACCACATTTTACCATTTTTACAATCTTTTCAACACCTAAATGTGGACGGACCGTAACGATGATACGATACAAAAATAGTCTCATAGTGCTTATGTAATGGTAGTAAGTTGGACATGTTTATGCTTGTCGTACAACACATTCACATACATGTTGCAAGTTCTCGACGGAAGTGCACTTTAGAGTACAAATACTTCTCTACAAAAAATGGACCTTTCAAGTGTAACTGTCACATTTAATCAGAGTTATAACAATTTTATTGAAAATGGCAGAAAATAGGATGAAGGTAAGTTTGAAGGTGAAACCTTCGGACAATATTTCACCTACTGCTTTTTTCATCATAGGCTTCAGTGATTATATTTTTGCATGGTTATAATGCACATGGACTACAGAAGCTATGATAGAACGGACAACCGTTAATTTCTCAAGGTCGTGATTTTGCGTATGTTTCAATAGTGTCTACTCATTTCCAATAAATTTCTGAGATTATACAATAATTAACCTCGAAACTTTGGGCGAATAATCCAGACATACTGTCGGATATTTGCTGCAATTTATCAACGAAAGGAATATTCGTAGGCTGGGTTATAAATTTTTCTCGCAAATGACCTTGAATTTTCAACAAAAAACACAGCTAATAGCGTCCGGAAAATAGCTGTATTTCACTAACCACTAACAGCCTACTCATAAACGATTATATTGTAGATACAGTAGAGTCATAGCTACATTTTATTAAAAAGAAAACATTTTCATCTCTCTTGGATCAGGAGCTATTGATATTTTACGAAAAAGAGATAAATTGCTTATATCTCACGAACCATCTAGTGAAAGAGGCCTGGACTTCGAGGATGATCACCATTCAGTAAGAGCTATGACCACACAAAATTAGAAGTCCGTAGCTATCATTGGTCTTGAGTTACAGGGGCCGGCTATTTTTGAGGAGTACTGTACTCTGTTAGTTGATGACTACCATTGCTCGATATTTTTTCTATATGCGTGCAGTGGTGTATACGTATGTGGAAATATTAAATGTATGAAATATATTAGTGTAGTACGCTTATTGCATAGCCGTAGCTGTTAAGGAGTGGTGTTGTTGCTAGTATGTAACATCAATAAAAAAGAGCACATGTGCTACATTCCAACTAAAATATGGGCTGATAACGACTATGTAACTGCGCTTTTTATAATATTACTTGAATTGCAACTAAACTGATATGATCACTGATAAATAAAAAATATGATGATCGGGGTTATATAATTTTTATTGTCAAAATTCTTTCGGAATTTCGATATTGGCGAAATTCCGGTTGTTGGAACTCTAATAATCCAGTCACATTATACATATAAGTTACAGAAAGAAAGAAGTATAGTCATTTTTCTACTCGTCTTTTTTCCCGGTTAGGAGATTTTACAACTCTTTTATCTACAACTCATAAATCATAAATGAGACCTATAATCGATGTTTGCTACTAGTAATAAAACAGTTGTAAAATTTCTTAACCAGGAAAAATAAAAGACGAGAAGAAAAAAGATTATACTTCTTTCTATCTGTAACTTATATATACATTTATAACGGGAATTTTTCATTAAAAAACCTTTCGTCTTTACCAAAAAAATGTTTTCTTAGCTATTACAGTGTCACATGGGTTATCGCTGTTATCCGCGAAGGCTGGTAACGATATCCAACCAAAAGTAACCGCTAGACATATTCTAAGATTCACCAAACCTGAGACTTCTGAATTACCATCACATGCAGAGAAAATAATAACTGACACATTAGAAACATCCTACACCGTCGAACCATGAAACAAAGTGGTTTATTCAAACTAGATCATCGTTTTCGTCATCTACAAGGCGAACAAGTGATCACGGCACTTGCAGCGGCAGTACTCTCTAAAAAAAATAGGTTTATTACAAAACCTAAAAGAGTATAGAGAAGTGCAACAATTTCTAACCGTTTTAGGTTTCGTCCTTCGACTATAAGCCTATTTTTGTAGAGAGTAGTAAACGAAAAACAGTCGGTAGTATTACTGGTGCACGCAGAGGCATAGTTGATCTTTTCCTAGTTTAACTTTTTTATCGACTGTGTGTGGCACTTCCGAAACAAAAAGAATCTTATTGGTACCTTGGTCAATAAGATTTCTTTTTTTTTCTTCACGATGCATTTTTAACTTGCAACGAATGCCCAAGTTTCAATGTCTTACATTTTTCCTAAGTAAATAAAATTTTAACATTCATTTTCTGTCTTTTCATAGCCTGGTAGGTTTATGAATGCTTAATGGTCAGCGAATTATATCCGATAGACAATGTGCAGGCAGCCAAGGGAGCATTTCAAAATATATTCCGGTCGGACGGTTACTATTCCTTTATTTCGTTATTCCTCGACTATTCCTCTATTTCTTTATTCCTTTGTTTCTCTATATCCACATTTGATTTTTCGTACAAAGTTAAACCTCTTTTTCTAATTTTATTGCTTCGATGATAATTGACCTCTCTCTTTGAAAGTACTATTCATCTATTAAGCTCTTAACTGCGCATAAATCAAAAATGTACATAATGTATACATTCCAGTGTCAAAGTGTTTGGATGTTCATATATAAGAAAATCTTTCTCGTTTTAAATGCAATTGCTTTATGTTTTTTTGTGAATAGTCTTGAAATAGCGCAAACTTCCGATGTATATTATTCTTTATTTTTATTTACAGGGAGTTTAACGTTTCAAAATATGTTCCAGTCGGTCGGTCTCTATTCCCCGACTATTTCACTATTATAGAACATTTCATTGCATACTAGTTTTCTATATATAGTTTAAGGTTCTCAGAAAGCAGACTTTCCATGAAATTTATTTTCGATTCTTTTAAACACCATTCGATAGAGGGCATCGAGCTGATCACGAATATGTGTTATTCACTTTTTTTTGGAAATATTTTTCGGGTCGAAAAACCCGAAATAGCAGACAGGTGTCAAAAACTCAAGAAAAATAAAGTATCAGAGAATGGCCGTCGTTTTCTCGCGTTGTATTTTCAAGAGCCGAGCTAAAGCGTTTTTGATTCAGCATTTAAAACTGAATAAGAAACTGGTGTCAGAAATTTTGGCTCTAGAACCTTTAGAAAAACATGTGTTGGATTTGCAAAATCGGGTTCAGTTTTTGGGCCTCGCAATTTTTCGCGGATAGGCGTTTGGTCCCAGAAACGTTGCGAGGTCAGTTTCTTATTCAGTTTTTAATGCTAAATCCTAAAACATTTAGCTCAACTCTTGAAAATGCAACGCAAAAAAACTGACGGCCTTCTCTGACACTTTGTTTTTCTTGAGTTCGGCTATTTCGAGTTTTTTTACCCGAAAATATTTCCAAAAAAAAGCGAATAACACATATTCGTGGTTAGCTCGATGCTCTCTATCGAATGATGCATAAAAGAATCGAAAATAAATTTCGTGAAAAGTCTGCTTTCTGAGCACTTTATATATATCGAGCTTGATTTTCTTTTCTAATTGTTTCGGCTTCTTCAAAAACAATTAACCGCCATGTTTTCAAAGATTCATTTATCAAGCTATTAATAGCATATTTAAAGCAAAAAGAGAACATCTCTTTTATAGTTTATTCTACTGTCATACCATTTAGGCTCTTTTAGAATAGAATATTTTCATCAAACAGACGGTATGCATCCAAAACTGGTTGCATGTCCTGCTTTAAAAGCTGCTTTGATCGCTTCAATACTTGCGTACATACCAAGTGCAGCCGTCGCCAACGCTGACAAGAAGAGCAGAAAATTGAAAAGTTTGATATACCATAGTGGTTTCAAACCTCGTACCCATCGTGACAGATTCCACCACGTATCCTTTCGAGTCACAACCCTACCACTAAATTCATCATACACATCGAATTTCGCTGCATCCCTCTGTAGTTCTAAGCCAAAGGACATTATCGGTGGAAATGTATAGGTAAACTGAAGAATACAGAGTGCTGCAATAAATCCCGACAAAGCACTCACATTCGGTATACTTGAACCAATAATAAACGCAAGAGCCCAATAGGCAATTGTCATACAAATCCACAACACACGTCCTTTGGACGAGGCCAGTTCAGGCCCATTCAATAGATCAATTACAATGTTATGATAAATCACTTTGATACCAATGTTTCCATAGAGTGCAGCAGCGATCAAACCACTGACAAGCGAAAGAACATTAATTGCTGTTAGCCAGTTATAGTTTCCGATTCCTTGATTCGCTGGATTAAATGTAAACTGTCCTTGATAGCTGTAGACAAATAGGCCATACATTAGATAGCAAACGAAAATCAATAGTTGAGCACAGATCATCGCTTTCCAAAAGTCCCATGGCCGTTTCATCTCAGCCATAAATTCAACGAAGATCATCGCACCACCGTATGCAAAAACCATTTGCATTACGCCATTAACTTGAGTGTAGAATGGTGCAGTGGAAGCGATTTGCTTAATAATTGGGCCTTTACTAATATTATAACTTTGAAAAACAGCCTGGTAATTCGGCGGGCTGTGAGCAACGACGCCCATCGTAAAGAATATAAGAGAGCAGCCAGTCAGGACGTCCAGTCGGCTGAAAAGCGACTGGACCGAAGGTGATCGCATGGTACGTTTTTTCGATCTACCCTTCCTTGCACCTACAGCCCCGTATCAGGGCAGGTTAGGACTGCAAGATTTTATGATGAGCCATGTCCTGGACACAGCAGGATAGAGGGAAGGTCTGAGAATCAAGCTTTTACCTAGACATGATTAGATACCATCGTAGTTCAAACCATAAACCTTACCAACTGTCTTTTAGCTGCCGTTATTTTATAATGAGTCCTCTAATGGATTCAAGAAATCAAAGTTATAAGATTCCGATACAAGTATGGTTGCAAAGCTGAAACTTAAAGGAATTGACGGAAAATACGTAGGAAGTGAAAATCTGTAGTCTAATTTGACTCAACACGGTAAATCTTACCCGACTGGGACGCTTTTAGGGTTGACAGATTGAGAGTTCTTTCTTGACCAGGTGAATGGTGATGCATGGTGCGATCTATCTGGTTATTTTCGATAACGAACGAGACTGCGGCTTACCAACAGTCAGATGTTAAGTTGATACGCGTCCTTCGTGAATGCTCTCTAACTAATAGATTTAACCAAATTGCGAAATTAGCCACCTGTCCAAAGTTCTTCAAGCTACGTATCTGTCCTAAAATCATTCCCATTAGAGCCCAGACTAGGACACAGATACTGAAGCAAAGTTTAATATGCGGCAAATCTGTATTGATCATCTGTGACAGAGCTTGTCCGTTTGATAAACAAATAATACCTACGTTAAAAATCAGTTGAATCGATTGAAGAATGTTTACGGAGTGGCGTGCAGTCGTACCAAAAATCCTGTAAACTAAATCACCAAAGTTCTTACAAGGATATTGGTCACTGTCCAACGCTAAATACATTCGCCAGAGAAGTATACCAGTCCAGAAAGCAACAAGACCCATGATGAAGTAGAGTATCGAGCCCGGTACATAACCAAGTTGCGCAATAGCCCACGGAGCATTTGCCGGACCGAGTATATCAGTTGTAATTAAGTAGAAAACACTGAGCCAGGTAGCAGTACGCAGAGCTCGATGAGCCTGTAGTTTTTCGTCTAAGTTTATTATATCATCAGATGGTTTTCTGTGGCCTTGCTGCTGCTGTTGGCGTAACGAAGCAAAATGAAGGTAGGCTTCGAGTGGCACAGTTTTGTTCTGGACTACGACTGTGTCTTCGTCGATGGAAGGTCGAGGCAGAGGATCTGCTGATGTGGCGACATTGATGGTTGCTATCCCATCCATGTTGAACCAGCTGTTAATTTTGTTTGGAGATCGGCTGGTATATGATTTTTAGTGTTTGTATTAAGTTTTGAAGGTTAACACAGAACAGTTATGTGTTGTCAATAAGAATAACATTAAACATAAGGTGACGATTGCAAGTTACACGCTTGGTTGAATCGATGAAAAAAACAAGAACGAAAAAGAAAAAGAACCTTACCCTTGCAGTATGCCATTAACTTGAGTGTAGAATGGTGCAATGGAAGCGATTTGTTTAATAATTGGACCTTTACTAATATTATAACTTTGAAAAACAGCCTGGTAATTCGGCGGGCTGTGAGCAACGACGCCCATCGTAAAGAATATAAGAGAGCAGCCAGTCAGGACGTCCAGTCGGCTGAAACGCGACTGGATCGAAGGTGATCGCATGGTACGTTTTTTCGATCTACCCTTCCTTGCACCTGCAGCCCTGTATCAGGGCAGGTTAGGACTGAAAGATTTTATGATGAGCCATGTTCTGGACACAGCAGGATAGTGGGAGGGTCTGAGAATCAAGCCTTTACCTAGATATGATTAGATACCGTCGTGTTTACTGTTTTCAGACTTCTTCTATCCACGATGATGTAAGCATACAAAGCACATTTTCTGCCATATGATATTCTCGCGGCACTAGACACACTGTTTCTCGCGTCGACAGTGTATAATCCGAGAGGAAATTTGTTACATACTCTTTGTTCTTCTGTAAGACTTGGTCGAATGTATCAAAGACAGCTATAAAAATAAAAGTTACTATGAAAGAACACATATGCGAAAGAAGAAAGTACTCACCATTAATGCTACTGCCAAATTCAAACTTTCTGCCGCTGTACAGAGCCCGCACTCCATCATCTGCCTTTCTGATAAGTCGCTTTCAGTTGCAATCTGTCTTTTGAAATGAACTGTCTAGTAGTAGTTTTCCTTGTATAAAATAGCCTACTAATTTTTCTCCGGCTGTATTAGTGATGGTAATAAAACTATCGGACAAAATATCGGTAAACAAGTCTTCAAACTGATCGCCATTTGGCTGTGTCAGAGTGCCTAAACCTCAGTGAGCACCATTCACGAAGCAGTCCTTGAATTTTCTGCCATTTGAATTTATAACTGTTGTTTCACCAGCGAATTTTCCATTTAAACAATTTCCTTATTTGAATCTCATGTCTATATATAAATCTTAACCCTTACATGAGTTTTTTATTATAGTGTAAAATTCTTTATAATTTTTACACCGTAGTGAATGAATCAGACATGAATTAGAGATGCACCTTACGATGTTTGAAGCGGTTTGAGAAGTATGGACTGTCCTTCGTTGACGAAGCGTGAGCGAATGAGTTGATTTTTTATGAAACACTAGTAAACACTAAAAACACGATTTCGAAATGACGGCGGACGATAAGAGCCGAAATCGGTCCATGCCTCAAATCAGTCTTATGTTAAGTCACCTGATGCAGTGTTTCTCCGCGAACAACGCTAACAAATTTTTGGATCTTAAAAATTTTTTTCAGCGTCCCGGGAAACGTTTTAGCAAAAAAACCTCTCCTTTAAGGTTAAACGACCTTTACTCAAGCTATTTACATTATTCAGCCTCTTTCACATAAACCAAATACCAACTGTTATACACCGTTCGATAGAGAACTTCACGGGCCACAAAATGATATATAAGATAGTCTTCTGAAAATGTAACTAGGTAGTCTAAGATCCGAAATACTCGGTAGCATCTCAGCAAACCGGTAGGTCAACGTCGTTCACATTTATAATATCCATTGATTTTTGTATGATTACTCCACTATATCTATCATCCGATAGAGCATTTTACGAGCTTCAAGATGAGCTTTAAAAAGAAGATGCCCACATTGCTCAATGCCTGAAATACTCGGCCGATATAATGATTTTCACCTATCTTAGTGCTTTGAACACTCCGTGAGTCATTTTTCCCCTATTATGAAAAATTATGTATGGTTCGAAAACATGCCATTGGATAGTCCTTGAAATTCTCTACAAAGTGAGCTGGTCACAATATCCAGACAGGTGGGGTCAGTCATTAAAGATATGGAAAAGGAGCTTTTGGATGTTATCTAAGTTGTACAGTGTGTCATAATAACAAGAACTTCTTTATTTTTGATTTTTTAGTAAAAGCTGAAACCAATCTGAATACTGTTTTGAATAGCCCGAAGATTTTTCTATTATATGAGGTGCATACAGCAAAGAATAGAGCAAAGAGTTCTGGGAAAAGACATCTCGCGTCTGTCTATAATGCTTTTTCGTCCAACTGCAGTCGATTTACCACTGGCTACAAAGGGCGCGAACATTATCAAAATATTCCGATGAAAAAGCATTATAGAATGCCGAGAGATCTCTTATTTTCCTGGGAATTCTTTGCTCTATCAAGCTATATGATTTGCAAAATTTTCTGATCAAAAACTAAGGACTTGGTTTTCCAGAAACCCTATTGTCAGCTTTTCTCATGAAAGGGTGATATGCATCTCATCTGATAGAAAAATGCTCGGGCTATTCAAAACAGTATTCAGATTGGATTTGAAACCGAAGATCGGTTGTCTAGTAACGCCGAACGGGTATTTGTCGAACAGCCATTCACAACGCGTAGCTGTCATTTACGCTGCTAAATCGTCAGAAACGATCAATCGTCAATTTGTTTTATTCGAAATCAATGTTGATATTAGTCTAAACGTAGTGGTGTTCGATGATATTGGAAAATTAAGTCAGTTTAGAGATGAAGAGGAGGTTTTTTTGATTTAGACGTTACGTTTAAAGTAATGTATGGCTATTATGATCAGGATAAAGCAACAAACGAAGGTGAACAAATAGCAAAGAAGTTTATTGAATTAGTTTATTGAACAAAATAATAGTTACAATCAAGATCAAGTTCAAGTTCATGTTTAATGTCCTTCCATCGTGGAGGGATACGTTGGTTAAGGTATGCTGATGCGCTGCAAATGATGCACGAGCCGCTTCTGATTCTTTCTGCTGCAACATCATTACGTGAAATTGGACGAGTTTTTCATAAGCTACAAATCTGTAATTTAACAGCACAATATCACCGCAAAGGTTTACAGTTGTATGGTTACTTGAATCATAATGCAGACACAGCTGCAATCATATCGGATGTTGGCGCTTGTTTGTTTGATCTAAATGAGGTTCAAAAAGCGATGCACTTCCACATGAAGGCATTAATGATAAGAGTACATCGATTACCATCTGATCATTTAGCTATGGCGCGCAGTTACTGTAATATTGCTCTAGTTTATCAAAGACAACACCTTAGTGAAGCTTTTTTTCACAAGCACATGACTTTCTTGAATTTCTTGAGTAAGATTCAATTTTGTATGTTATGTTGACACATTGGAAACAATATTTCCTCAAGCTATACCGCCTTTGCACACGGAACTAATCGAACTATTACCATTTTCTTGTGAATAATTGTTCCATTAGTAAAACAATCTTTTCAAGCGAATCTAATCGAACCTTGGTACAACATGCTCGACTGACGCATATTTATATCTCTAAATGATTATAGTTTCTTTTTTTATTATAATTTATATTTGACATACAGGTGAAAATAAAATGGCGACAAAAGTTTAGTAGAGCTTGTGTTTCTTTGCTTTCTCTATACGTAAAGAGTTAATTGGTTCTGTAAAACATCTTGCTATAGGTTTCTGTTGGAATATGGAGTGACTTGAC